TTCAAATACGGAAGCCAACCGTTTCGGGGAGCTTCTCTAGTAAAACTTATGTACTGTGTTCGTTGATTTAAATTCTTGAAACACTCATCCATTTCGAACTGTGTCGTGTCGATGTTATAATGCAACAATCATCAACATATCGGCAGTACATAAGTGGGCGTCGTAATAGCATCGGTCTTCCTATTCTGCTCATGAAGCAGATGGCTAGCGTAAATGCTAATCTTCGGCCCATTGTTAACCCTCTTAACTGTGAATAGTATGTACCAGACCACTTGAAGGTATTACAGTTGAGACATTCCTTGATTAGAGTCATCATACGCGCTTTACTAAGCCCATACATCGAAATGGTATTATCATGTGCATCAAACAGCTCAGAAAGCGCTTGTAAAGCGTCACCGTTGGACACGTTCGTGTAGAGTGACGTTACATTGAATGACTCTATTGCACAGCTCTGGTCGAAATGAGCATGGTGCAGTTGATCAAGAAAATGTACGCTACTTACAATGTATTGTCTCAGCATGTTTGCTCCTGGGGCATCGAACTGAGCTAGTTGAAAAGAAAGATTTGAAAGTACAGAGTGAAAAACAAGTGCGAGGCTTTCTTTCAGGTCTCTGAGGGAGGCATTCTTGCCGAAACGTTAGACCGAAATAAAGAACTCAACAAACCTGCGTGGCTTACAACATATCTCATGAATTCAAACAATGCCCAGGTTTCATGATCAGAGAATGTTTAGAATACTTGGAAAGTATTACTTTAGATAAGTTTCCAAATCTTTTTTATATAATCCTTCCGCAAATAATTTTTTGAGTATACAGTTCAATATTGGTGTCATATGATTCTGTGTGCACTGTAAACGAGCAACTTGCTTATTTTAGCCTTGCTTTCAAATCGCGCGCACTTTTCGTCATACACGATAGAGTATGTTAATCATGTGACAACCTGTCCGAAAAGCTTGTGTTCGACTAAATGGCGTTATTCCCTGTGCTCGGCCCCGACTCGTCAAAAACGAAATTCTCTTTGCTTTGTGCTCTGAAAACGAAGTCCAACCTGCTTCCAAACGACCTGTGCCGGGCCCTGGTTCCAGAACATGAGGATCAGTATGAACTCAGCCTCATACTTTCAGATGACGGAAGCGCGGTTTTAGGACAGAACTCAAGGTCCGTTTGTGACATGATTAAAGGCACCGTCCACCCAGATTCTTCATTCTGAACATGTGGCACAATGGAATCTTGTAGTTTGCTGGTTCGTCGTTTAGTTGGTTTACCTCATAAGCGTTCTTGATACGCACGATAGTTTGTGCTTCATGTTTGTCATAAACCGTTTCGATCGACGGTATTATTCTTTTGAAATTTTTGCAGAATGTCGTACTACACGGCAACAGCAGATTCATCTCTGATGCCCAGTTGTTCAGTTTCTGAACAGATTGAACTACAAAGGAAACAAAAGATGGTTGAATTTATTACAGTCCAACGCGCTCCTGTCGTTATCGCGGCTGCGCACGCTAGGGTCGTTCGGCTGTACAGCTTTTTGTGTACATCTTCTACAAGTTTTTCTTGACCCTCCCACTTTTTCACTTCCGGTTTCGGCCCTTTGGTGACGTACTTGATGATTGGTATAGCGGCAGACGCGTGCACTTCCAGGCATACATCTCCGGGTTCGGTGCCATTGCTGTACCCGCACCTGCTGAGGTTGAAAAGCTCTAAGAGCTTTTTCCCTTGGACAATAAAATATTTGTCTAGCAGGGCGGGGTCAGTTTCTTCCAATTCGGGTGCCGCTTCGCTGTCAGATGTTGGCACCTTCCCGGGCGAAAAGTAGGAGCCGCTCTGAAATGAGCTGAATGAGGATTAGTGGATGGAGTTTGCTGGAATTGATGTCAGTATGCTTTCTAACCACTTCCATCCCCAAGCTCCCCTTGAACGGTCGGCTGTTTCGTGGCTCTGGTATATACCGCAGAAGAAGGATAGGAGAGAAGAATCCGGTGGAAGAAGCCGTGACTGGCCCACCGTATGGCATCCATTGAAGTCAAGAAGCGCAGGATCCAGAGACGCCGAGAGCAGATTCAAGTATGTTTTTTGAATATCCGTTCGTTGTCATCGGAGGAAAGACTGACAGCGCTTGAAGAAGAGTTAAAATTGATAAAATTTGATTTCGTTGGCCTTTGCGAAACACGCCGCAGCGGCAACTTTCATGCAAAGCGCACGTCTTCTGGATTACACTTTTACAACAGCGGGCGAACGGAAGGAGAAGTTACTCGCAGGGGAGTTGGGATACTTGTAAATGAACGATTACATCGGCATTGCGCAGGCGTAAAGTTCCTCTCCGACCGTTTATTACAAGTTCATTTTGTTCTCCGCGGGAAGTCGTTACGAGTAACTGTAGCATACGCCCCCTGGCAGGAGGAAGAGTACGAAAAATTTCTCGATGAGCTCCGCAGCGCGATATCCCAAGGGCGTTATGCACACGACATTTTAATTGGCGATTTCAACGCACGTGTAGGAGGAGGAAAAATGCGATCTGAGTTCGTAGGTCAGAAATGCTACGGATCACGAAACAACAAAGGACAGGCGTTGGTAGAATTTGCGGAGTCGGAAAGGTTCTATATAATGAATACTTTTTTTCAAAAGCCTAAAAAGAGACGATGGACCTGGCGCTCTCCTAATGGAAGCGTTGTTGAAGAAATCGACTACGTTCTGACGCGCCAACCACGAATCATAACTGATGTTGCTGTTCTCAACAGGTTCAACGCCGGGAGCGACCACCGCCTGATTCGAGCCGATGTGAATCTTCGCACGACACAGATCAAATTCCGTACTCGTCAACTGCCTCCAGACTATAGCGAGATAAAAATGAAAACAGCCTTGCTGAATGATAAACGAATTGCCAAGATTTCATCCTCGACATCTATGACGGCTGACCCGGTGGACTCTTGGCAACAATTGTGTAAATCTATTCAAGATGCTGCTACTTTCGCCGAAGTCTCTTGGGAGCCGCTTGAACGAATCTCTAAGAGAACTCGTTCTCTTCTTCTTCGTAGGCGTGAATTGAAGTATGGGCTAAAACAGACGAAGACGTTGAACACTCATGTTGATTACGTAACCGTTTGCAAGACTGCGCGATGGTCAATGAAGGACGATCTTTACCGGCATCACTGTTCCGTCCTAAAACGAGCCATTGAACGCAATCGTATAAAACGCGGGCGTCTCGAGCTTATCCGTCAACAAGAAGTCGTATGCCAATTGCGAAGGCCAGATGGGACAATGACCACTACATCCACAGAGGCTCAATTACTCGCTAATACCTTTTTCGCTGAGCTTTACACGGCCCGCGAGATTACCGTTCCATTCCACAGTCACCGACCTATCACTCATCCTATCAGCGCCGATGAACTGAAAAAAGCGGCTTCAAAGATTAAAGGAAACACTGCTCCAGGAGTTGATGGTATTCGCTCTATTGCTGCAAAGTATGGTGTGGAAGTTGTTGCACCCCAACTTGCAAACATCATTAACCGAATGTTCGAAGACAACCACATCCCTGCCGACTTCGCCCATGCCACTCTGATTCTCCTCCACAAAAACGGTGACCGCTACGATATCAAGAACTACCGACCGATCTCCCTTTTACCCACAATCTACAAAGTTCTGACGAGAGCACTGGCATGTCGAGTCGAAGAAAAAGTGTGCAAGTACCTATCTGTTGAGCAAGCTGGGTTTCGTCAACGTTTCTCAACTACTGACCATTTACAAGCTATCAATCAACTTATTGAAAAAACGCATGAATATCACCTACCCATCGCATTCCTTTTTCTTGACTTTCAGAAGGCATTTGATACCATTGAGTTCAACTCAATTTGGAGAGCTCTTGGTCACTACGGAGTTGATACCGATACAATAACGATGATACAACTCCTGTATCAAGCAGCTACGGCCTCGCTTCAATCTGATAAAGCCAATGCTCCGTTCAAAGTACAGAGGGGAGTTCGCCAAGGGGATGCTTTATCGCCAGTTATCTTCATCACGTGTCTTCAGTTCGCAATAGATTCTGTCTACTGGGAAGATGGAGACGGCTATGATATCTTTGGAAAGCAACTGCGCTATCTTGCATTCGCGGATGACGTTGTGCTTATAGCTCGCTGCCCGAGTCGATTACAGTCAATGGCCGTGAAAATTCTCAAAGCTTGTCAGCAAGTTGGACTTCAAATGAATGAAAAGAAAACCAAATGGATGGGTGAGGACAGAGATCGCATTTGGAGGAGTTCAACAATCACACTGAACAGCAACACCATCGAACGCGTAGACTCCTTTATCTATCTCGGTCAGCTACTGCAGTGCCTACGTGATCACGATAAAGAAATATCCAGGCGCATTGGGATGGCATGGAACGCTTTTGGCAAGATGCGGAGATTTCTTACCAACAGAAGCGTAGCTGTTCATCTAAAACGACACTACTTCAACAAAATCATCCTTCCTACACTTCTGTATGGCTGTGAGACGTGGTCAACCACTAGAAAGTCGATGCTAAAACTACTGCGATGCCAGAGAGCAATGGAAAGGCTGATGCTAGGATTTCGACTGAAAGATCACAAATCTTCAACATGGATTCGTTCTATAACAAAGCTGAAGGATGTGGTAGCAGCGGCACGGCAAAGGAAGTGGCGATTTGCTGGGAAAATTTATAGAATGCAAGGCGAAGAAAGATGGACAAGGATTCTCACGCGCTGGATACCATCTGTTGGACGACGCTTTGGAGATGGCAGACCAAGAACTAGATGGGAAGACGACATACGAAAGCACTGTAATGTTTCCTCTGCTTGTAAATGGCAAGAAAAAGTCATGGATTCTAGCCAATGGAGGCGACTAGAACGCACATATGTGACAACATACTGATTAACAGAAGCCTCAGACAAAATCATCACGGTTTTTATCACTAACATGTATAACCGTTGAGTATGATTAAAAGATAAGATAAGATAAGATATGCTTTCTAACCGCAGTCTTGTTCGATCATCTTGAATCTGTATGCTTCACACATGGTGTGCTAAGAAGGCTGCTAGCAGTTTTGATTGGAGATCCTAAGTTCTGTGTTTTTGCAGAAAGCGCTTGCAGCATCTCATAATCCATGGAGAAGTCGAAGTTTTGAGTGCCTGATGTTCCGGCTTCTGTTATTGGCTGAATATCATATGACGCGTTCACAGCCTAAATCATCAGGGGGGGGGGGAGAAGCACCTGTAGATAATCAGCTTCTGCCAGATTTGCGAGCTGAGGGATTTCCCACCTGCCCTCATGATAGTATTTCTTCAGTTGTCCGTTTAGGTAACGCATCAGATCATAGTTGGTGACTGTGATGTTGTTCTAGAAAATTTCATTGCTGCAGATTTTCTTCGTCTTCTACGCAAACTGACCGAAAAGGACTTTATGGCATCATTGACGCTTGCTAGAATATGCTCAGAAATTTCACTCTGATTGATGTATGAGACATGATCTAGCGTTTCGGACAGTCTTCCGCCGCTTGCAATCACTTCCGCGAGAATGTATTGCGTCTGGACAACAAATTACTGTACTTCTTTTTGAACTGCTGAAAGACCAACAGCGTTGGTGCAGTGCCTGATGCAATAGTATCTTCTACACGTGCTCATGGCTGCAAAGCACTCCACTTCGTTTGATATGATTGATGAGTACTTGTTCAATGCAGCCAGGAGTATCGCATTGTAGGTCTTGTTAGAGGACGAACGTGTCGTAAATTTTTCTTCGGTCTTGTTGCCGCATAGAAAGCATGTGATAGGCATGGTTGATCGCAATAGAATCTGAAAATGTTGCTTCGACGGATTCGATATTATACACTCAGAAATAGTGTTCCAGTGCAAAAATAGCACTTTTGCCTCATAGACGTTCGGATAAGACTGTTTATTTTTTTGTTGTTTACAAATAATTGGTCAAGGCTATAGGCTATATATCATTTCTGATCTGTATGATATGAAAACGTCTTCTTGGGTCAGCAGAGCATCTTGGTCAACCATCACTTGCCACTGCAAAAACAACAACAGAGTCCGTTTGTGGCCTGCACTTCACAATACAGAACATACCGAGATCCGTGAAAGTTTGACTTGTTTTAGATCTCCGTTGTCATTGACACAAGGCAAGAGCGACCATGACGCACAAGAAAATATTGCGAACTTGTGTATCCGCAGAGAGACATCTGGCATACACATAAACATACTCCATATCATTTTGCACTTTTTGTTTGTCAGCTTCAAGTAACTCAGCAAATTCTTTCTTAGCTATCTAAATGCTTTATTTGAACTTTTTTCCACTTTGTATACCTTTTTTTTTGCCCCTTGATTCTCACGAGCTTCAAAAATTCTATTCCAGGCAACGGCTCCCTTTCTCATAGTCTTACAGAGAAGACTGCTTCATCAGATGTAGATCTTCTGCGATGCGATTGTGCACTTGAAAGAAAGACTTCAAACTCATATTTATCAAGCCATTCCTGTAACTACCAAATCGATAAAGGAAAGAAATCACTGCAGCAGTGCTCGATCACACATATGTACAACATTGGTTAGATTATTTGATTAGTTTACAAAGAAATTTACGTGATGCGTTGAGATCATTCATCTAGAATCAAAAAGATAATAATAAATCTGTTTGACTACATCTCTTTCTTCTGCACACATCCATCTGCTCGACAGTATGCGGCACAAGGTATTGGAGGTGGTCGCGTAATGCGCCCGCAATGACAGTATTGTTCTTACCTGAATAAAAGGATTATTGAGTGGATGTTCAATCAATGAAGTTTATGCGAGCAACTCATTTCAGTGGAACTGGAGTTATAGAAAGATTAGAAGAAAACATTTCTCACACATGTACGAAAACTTACTTGAATTCAAACATCTCGGACATTGTCCAACATGACAGATGTGTTCACAAAAACGAAGACCACATGATAGACATTTGTTGCAGATCTAAAAATAAGACAAGATGCTAATTATAAAATTGACAAAACTATTTTGATGCTGAATGAGTCAAAAGAAGTTCAAAAAACATACTTGCATGCATATATGTTCGGTTTGTACAGCATTACTCTTAACATTTATGGATTCCACAAGATTTCCTTTTCTTGCAGCGTCTTTCACACAGAAACTGACTGCCTACATGGAACCCATTAGCAGTAATAACCAACACGTATAAACATCTGCTAGCAAAGCTCTAAATTTCTAATATCGCTTCTTTTCCGTCTAGAAAAAAAATGAGAAGGGAAACGGCAACATAACATCAAGTCTCACTGGAAATCCACTCACCGAAATGCACATGTATCCGCGAAAATTCAGATCCAAATCGTAGAAAATACATCTTAAAAAATACCGAATTCATGAGAAATGATGAACTATTTGCAATCAAGCACTTTCATTGTACGTGTAGCTAAGTAAGGTGAAAAAGTGATTTCTAGCAGGCATCAAAGCAAAGCAGGGTGGAACTATTCAAGTTTCAAAGTCAGTGGACTCGAAATAACGTCAAGAGATAAAAACAGCGCGACATACATACCTTCAATTCATAATCGTTCAGGGCAACATGACATTTCTCTGTAATTTTCTCCGTAACATTTTTGCGCAGCGTCGACAGCGGCTCCCTCATCAAAAGAAAATATTGTTTTCTAAACACAGTATGATTAGAAGTTCCTTGAGCGAGAGCAATTACAAAAAACTACCTACCTTAGCTCGCTGAAAGCATCTGACGGTAATTGCTGGAACCGTCAGCTAAACCTGCTTCCAGTAAACTGCCTCCTTGCACGACTGTTGTAACTTTATCAGGAAGGATACATAAATACATCAAGAAGTACAAAAGACGTTCATATATCGAGAAGCCAGTCGAGAATATGAGAGATTTTGCAAAATACTCGTACGGCATTTACCCCTACAAGACGCCACCTGACGGTCTCGCTGTAGTGCGCTTACAGCCTGCGTGTCTGAGCGAAATCGACCGGATGGGCGGGCATGGATGGGGAGAGGTGGGCATGGATGGGGGTCCGCGTGCATCTTTGCTATTCTGGAGCGATTTTCTCGCTTCCGAAGCAGCAATTTGCGGCGCGACTTGGGCATTGGCTCAATAGGGGGCCCTACTATTATATGCCGCTAAAAGCTCAACACCCTCAACTTAGGGTGGACGGTGCCTTTAAGGATGCAGTGTACATTCGATACGCAAATGCACTATGATTATGACAAGATTAGCTCTTTTCTATAATAATTATGGTTAGCGTGTTTCTATTTCTCTCCGTGTTTAGTCGCCTTCTCCTCACTAGTCGCTCAGTGGACAAAATCGAATTTTAAGTGGGCAGGAAGGCTGCTTTAGAGCGCTGCAACTTCGACCCTCAATTCAAACTCACATATGTTTTTTTCTGTTTTTTTCTTGTTTATAAGCTTTGATTCTTCTGTTTCAACGAGGACGTGGTCAGAACTGACAATCGTATCGTTTAGTCATGTTCCGCACTTTTATGTTCCTTGTTTGACTTCGGGTTCAAGCAAGGTTGAAAATTCAACAAAAATCAAAAAATGCCACCGAATATCTGTGCATCGTTTCTCCAAGGTTCTTCTGAGAAATTGAGGGCAATAGCGTATGAAATCGCTCAACAACGACACCGATTCGTCAACTCTACACACGAACATTGTGCTTGACATAAGAAATGAAGGTAACAACAAGCAAAACAGGAAAAGAACATATTCGCCAGCGGGCCGCCAGCCGGTATTCGAACGGCCGCCGGCTAGTATGCGTCAGTAGCGCAGCGAAATGGGACTGAGCCGCACTATTTCCTCCTCTAAATTGTAGCATTCGTTCCACTATAGTTTTGTTATAGGGTGGTACGAATCTACAACAGCATATTTATTACAGCCAAAAAATACAATGCAACAATAAATATAAAAATAAACAACACAAAGAAACATTGAACTCTTGTACACATATGCATGGAAAATACATTTGAAGCTACAAAACTAGTGACTTTTCGTCTATACGGGATCATTTGACGCAACTGGTTTACATATCGCTGAACAGCAGTTCCGAGTTGGCTGAAAGGTCACAAACGTTTTTTGTACTTTTGAATGCCAACCCCGACTTTGATGAGCTGCTTCGATACCTGTAAATGACCAATTTTTAACTGATACCGGAATTTTACAGCTTGCACAGAGTTGCGACAACGTCTGTTAGCGGAGCAGTATCAAAAACATAGGAGTCCTAGCAAACGGTTGAAACAGGTGATCTATCGATCTCTACAAAACACCGCAAAGGTAGGTTTAAGGTTTAATCGGTATTTAGGGAGAACATACGTCTTTTGGAGTGCGTCCACCCGTAAGAATCAGATTAGAGAAATGCGGTAGAATATCAGATAGAAAAACACCCCCAACTATGTTCTCCGCGTAGCAGGAACCTACAGATCAACGATCTCAAGGTGAATTAGAGTACTCAGCAAAGCAGGAATAGTCCAGAAATCGATGCACTGAGAATATGAAGGAGCATTCTTTAGAACCCATATTCGTTTTCACAAATAACAGTGTTGTACTGACAGCAGTTAAGCATTCGCTGTAGTTCTATCAGAAAAGCAAGAACAGAACAACTATGCATATTGCAGCTGTCTCCTGGAAAACTTGACGTCTAGTTTGTATTTTATTAGTTCGTACCTAATAGGATGTGACCCATACCTAGAAATCACATCATAGCAAATGGGCATGGACTCACTGACGTTCGGCTTTTTCGCCATTCAAGTCAAATAAGCAGGAATATATTAGGTTGTAAAGAAAGTTCCCGGGCACTTGCGAAATTTTTTTTTCAAATCGCTGTAACTTCAAGCAGATTGATTCTCTTCTAAAGCTCCAAACTTCATTGCAAAGACAATTTTGTCCACAACATATGTTTGTTTTGCTGGCTTCTCAAAACCAACTACGGCCCACCAGCATGCACAGAAGGGAAAAAGGTTCGTCGGTAAAAGTGGCCTTTTGCGCAGGATTATCTCATGCAGGATGAGAGCTGGAAAGCTCAGATGTTGTAGTTATATAGAGATCTGCCAGGGCTGTTATAAAAACCATTCGTGTTTTTGAAGGACTCCCTGCAAAAAAATTTTTTCCAGAAAGTTTAAAAAATCGACCATTTTTTGCCCCCAAAAATGCACCATTTTTCGAGTAAGTTGCTTTGAAGTCTTCTCGTTTTGCAAAGAGCTGACCAAATCTTTGATTACTGCGAATCTTGTTGGGGTAATGCCTTACACTTCTTTTGGACCCATCACCCAGGCGTGGCGATACCCGCAGAAGCGACGCCAGCTGCGAAAAGAAATGCAGACAGTTGCAAGTTCGACAACTTGTAACTTCTAAGCGCAGATCGCCAAACTCGAGTACAGCTGCGGGTCAGTAGTCAACAGACTCCTCAATCAGATCACCTATGATTTGGACGAAATTCTGTGAACTGCGCAAAAAAATGGCCGCAGAAAGAAAAATTGTGAAATTTTCATGGTCGGAAAGGTTTGCTTTTTTGATGTGCAGATCAGGCACGTTTTGGCAATCGGTAAAAATCAAAAGCGGTTTGAAAAGTTTAGGCTTCCCTCTACTGAAAGGTATGAAAAACTAGTCGTTAAGTCCGACCGAGCGCCGAAAAAAATGCGTTTGAAAATGAAATTCTAAAGTGCCCGGGAACTTTCTTTACAACCTAATAGAAAGAAGAGATAGATGGATATGATCGAACGCAATGTAACGTTAACGATGTAGATAACGAACACCATGGAGTTTGATTAAATCTGAAAAGAGAGTGGAATGAGCGGAATCATGATAATGAGCTACATCAACTATCATAGGACATAGAAAGTGACGCAACCGAAGTAGGAAACCACAACAATAATAAAAAGGAAGTCAATAAAAAGTTTCCATGCCTACAAGACACAAAGCTCACTCGTTTGAAATTGATTTCTGACTGTACGCGCAATCTTGTGCGCTTTCCGATCTTTTGCACAGTGGAACGGCAGCCGGCCGGCATGATTTACTCGTTTGGTGGCCGGCCGGCATTTGGCTCTGCCCAAAATGAGGAACGAATCCTTCTTATTATATCATTCTTGTTTTTAGACGCACTTTGTGTTTTGACAATGTAAGTGGTCAAACACAAAATGCGTCTAAAAACAAGAATGATATAATAAAAAAGAATTCGCCGTCTTCAATACCCTCTGCGCATAGTCAAAGAGGCAATTGTATGCATGCGAGCTATTACAATGTTGCGGGGCCACCCGGATACCAAGTCAGCGCTTTTAAGACACAAAAAAATAGGTAAAAAATGTTAGAAACAAATGAGGGCGGCGCTTACAGCGCTCTGCCGCGATCGGCTCGCTCCAGTTCGAATTCGAATTCTTTCAATAAGCGATTGATATTCTGAAGTTTCATTTATGTCTGGATTCTCAACAGCTCCCCCTTGTCACTGCCTAGCTGTCCTTCGAGATTGGAGTCTGATGTAGTAATTAGTGAAGATCAAAAATTCTTTTTGTTCATGATTTTTGCATGAACTACGTTTTGCAACACGCAATTGAGCTAACTAAACGTTTCATAAGTGCACAGTAAAGTAACGGTACAAAAACATAAGAAATAGCTTTTTTTGCAAAGATTAGCTTACCTGAAGTAAATACAGAATATGATTTGTCTCAGCAACAAGGTAAAGAATCATTTGGAAACAGGTCGAGCTAAACTTTGTAGAGAAACTTTCGCTCAAATGAATTTGCAAATGCCTCTTATCGTCTTATTCGGACAGATCCACGTTGTTGTGCAGAAGAGTTTTATTAGTTCCTTTTTTTTCTCTCCAACTGTACTTTTGAGCGCAAAAGATGTACTGTTTGGATAATCAGGACTCGTAAGAGATGACTCTAACAAGTGTCGGAAAATGTCCCTTTTTGCCTTCCCAACACTATCACAGCATGTCCTCTGCGATGCTCAATAAAAACAGGGTAGAAGACCCAAAACCCACTCGATGTGTTCGCCGTGCACCATCGCCCTGGAGAACTTTGCTGCCACTCATGTCAGAAACTTTGGGGTTCGGGGATGGGGCGGGGACTAGGCGCAGAGGAGCGTGAGGGAGGCGCTTTATGAACAAATTTATGAGGTTGAGAATGTAGATTAAGGTCATGTTTATGACTTTGTTCTTGTGAGCACCTCAGGCGGCTTGCCAGGGCCCGTAATAATCCACCCTACCTGCTGGCATCTCATGCCCTCAGCTCGCCCTAATGTCGACTTGAGGTTCCTAAAATCTCAAACTGCATCCGAGAATCCTCAAGCCAGGTGATCATCTATTTTTTGTGTTACGGTCTAGTTTTGCTGTCGAAATAGTATGGGAATTGAAAGGAAATCCAAAATATGTCATCGTTTTGCCATTTATTTAGCCCGAAATGTGAACCTGCAGGCAAGTTCACGATCTATTTTCGTCGAAATTTGAGATGCCATCTTGCCCTCAGCCTAGCAGCAGATCAGAGAGGGCACGAAATAGTGTGTCTTTGGTGGACTGCGACCTGCCGGCGTCTGGATGTGCCCCACCACGTTCAGGTGGCGGCACCTTTGCCGACAGCGTCTGTGAAATTGCATCGTGCACACAGTTTCGGACGACGCCGCGGGAATGACGCTTTCAACCATCATTTTGTGGTTTACCCTCTCTTTGCAATGTTATCGCCATGGCTTTTTAAGCAGCTCAGCAGTAACGCCAAATCTTTCCTAAATTTTAGAAAAAACCATCGTTTCTGTGAAAATCTGTTTCTTTTCCGTGCTTTTTGTGTAAGTTGAATTGAGAAAAATTTAAGTTTTTTAGATGTCACAATTCGTCAGCTACGCGACACTATAGCTAAACTTGAAGAAGACAAAGCTAGAGAAGTTGAACAAGCGATCTCGGAAGTGGAAATAGAGCTCAGAGACGAGTTTTCCGTACGTGATCACGAAACTACGATGCGTTCTGATAAGTTGAAAGCTGAGAATGCTGTACTCAAGAAGAGGGTAAGTTTTTTGTTTCAATCCTTTCGTTTTTGCAAGATAGCTTTTACCTCCTTTCTACTCTTTTTGTTGTTGTAGTTTTTGACAATCAAGAAAATCTCAAGTTATCGCAATTTTTTCCACAGTAATGTTGCTAGAAAGCTGCAGACCGGCTTCCGCTTCCCCCCCCTACTTCTCCTTTTGAGAACAGTCGCGCGGGATTTTCGCAAGTAGTTTTCGTAGTAAGTGCAAGTGACTTTTTTTATTAGGTTGAACACTAAGTTTTGCAACTTTTCTCATAACTTCCCTCTCACTCAACATGGCGCACTCAAATTTTGCCACTGAGTTGGTTATTACGTAAGCTACAAATGCAGCTGCTGTTCTACCAAATTCTGACGTTGCAGTGAGGGTTACGGTAGGTGCATGGTATGAAGGGGAAAAAATCAAAGTTTGACGATTCGGCTGAAACTTGGCGTAGGGGTGTTATCCGACATGCTGATCACGAAAACGATAGTGAAATTGCGTGATAAGGGTTTTTTTGTAGGATTACTGTAGGTGTACGATATGGGGTCTCACCCTAAACGAAGAAAAAGACGTTAATTCAACAAATGAAGGTGATAATCGCGTTTGCCAGGTCAAATAATCTTACTATGTAAAGTTTCGGCGGAATTTGAGCTTCGGACTCTTTGGTCATTGACGGTCGTCCCCAGCAGCTCTTGCATACATCGACTCGTTCGACTTTATGAGGACGCCATCTCGACATGCCCATAAATTTTGTTTCTTTCTTGCTAGGCCAAAGGAGTCAACCTCTTGCAATAATTTGTAGACGAATCCGTACTGCGCATGGTCCAGGCTGCCAAATTCTTCATTTTAGCTTGAAACCTCAAAAATTCTCAAATTTTACTAGTTTTCGAAAAATGCCTGAAACTTTTCTATTTCGTGTTCAAAATTCAGACAATTTGTGTTCACTTGTAGCTCACATTACGTTCTACATGATGCCAAAGTTTGAGTGCGCCATGTTGAATGAGAGTGAAGTTATGAAACAAGCTGCAAAACTTAATGTTCAACCTAATATTTGTAAAGTAAGAATTAACTTGCTTAATTTTATAAAAAATTTGATTGATTTACGTAAGAATAATTTCTCTTGTGAAGGTAAATAGAAATATTCCTTGCAGGCCTTTTTGGAAGCAGAACTGACACGAATCACAGACGAACTTGCAGAAGCCCGAACGTGTGCATGCCCATGGCTGTGCGGCTCCGCTCCGGCCGCTTGGACGCTGCTCGTCGGAATTTCTTGTCTGTTCAAATGGAAAACTTAGCGGTGAGTATCTTTGTTATAATGTTATATCGTTTAATTTGCTAGGATTTTGATTGTTCTTGTGCAATAATTTCATGCATCATCTCTAAAAACACCGGCAGAGTAGGTTGTTTTCGATTCTACACTTTTTCATACATCTTGTCATAATTATCTTTGGACAAATTTTTTTAGGCTTTGCGAAAAGGCTTTTATTTCGTCAGTAGGTGAGCTTTACTGTTGAGACATATTATAGAATAAATAAGTTTTATTTTGCATTAGAATAAATTCTCACAGTAAAAATGATAGCAAGACAACACCACCGTTTATAACTAGACACTCATGGTCCATCTTGGAATGCTAAGTACAAGTATAAGACACTCTTATCTCACTTTCGTCTTGAAAGAAAAGAAAAAGCTAGTAGTAACCCACATACATACACAACATGAATAAAAACAAAACTTATGTCTAGATTCTTAGAAATGTTTTCGTCCTTCTGACCTCTATCTCTTCTTTCTTGTATCTCTCTAGCTACTCTTTTGAAATTGGTTCTGAAATAATTTTTGTGTTAAGTTTAATTTTCATACTTGCCTTTTAGACTAGGTTTGGGATACAGTGTTTGGTATACTTCCTTATGATGGCGCAGCAAATATAAAGGGGCGATAAAGCACTATATCATTGTTGAAATTTGCAAACCCCAAAAAATAGGAAAATAGATCAATGACGCTTTCAAAAAGCCAGATAAAATGCTTGAGGAGTAAAAGTCAAATAAGGAAGATTATGCTTGATGACGTGATCTCACATATGACGCTTTGAGCTATTTGCAAGAATTTGAGAACCTTGTGTGGAAGTAAAGATCACATAACAAATTTCTCTAGCACAAGCGCTAGCTTGCTGCAGAAGCTTTGTCCGATTTTGTTGCTTCATGTTTGAAGCCGCTGTTTCGAGAGATTTTTATTCTCAATGCGATTTTATTTGTGGAAAGCGCTCTAGCTCTTTCTGTGACATACTAAATTTCAATGAAATCCACAATCTAGCAAAAGTGCTAGCTTAGGATCTTGGGTAGCCAAGAATAAGATCTCACTTGAGCAATTTGTGCTTGCAAAAATTCATTCTGCGTCTCCCAAATTAAGTTCTTGTCTTTGTCACTGATTAAGGGTCTTTGAAGGCACCGTCCACCCAAAATGGAGGTTGGCGAGATTATGATGGCATAGTAGTGTGGGCCCCCATACTAGACAAACCTCCAAGCTTCGCCGCAAAAGACTGCTTTTGGAGCGAAAATTCCGTCCGGAAGTAGCAAAGTAGGCGGGGCGACCCTAGTCGCCCCGCCCACATGCATGCTTTATCTCGCCTGCGCTTGTTGCAGAGGGTTTTCGTAAAAAGGATTTTTGGGGGTTTCGCGGATTTTCGACTCCGTATTCGGAATCAGGGCTTTGAAAAGGCTTAAAGGCGACAAAAACATTGAAGTCGAGATTTTGGGTGGACGGTGCCTCTAACAAACTAGTTATATTCAAAAGCCATTTTTACGTAAAAATAGTCTTGCTTGTAAAAGTGGTTGCCGGAGTGTAATTGCTGGTATGAACGTTGAACAAACCATAACTTTCTGTAAATAGAGTCAGTCCATAAATGTAATTAGGTGCTACGGTAAAGCAAGAGCTAGCAGGGCCATTCACCAATTACTTTCCACTAATCGTGACAAGTGGAAATCTGGCATGATCTGAAAGTAGGCACATAAGTGCGATCGTGTGAGAATTTGCTCACCCTCCCTTCATCCCTGAACCGGCACCAAGGTGACCCCCTTCACCAAAAGCCGAGAAGAAAACTAACAGTGAGGTAAGGCTAAGCAAGGGAAATATCTGTACGAGAATTATTTGTGTATTAGAAAGGAGAAAGAAGATTTGTAGACATTCACGAAGTTCGAGGAGGAAAAAAAATAGTAGCTTTGTAACTGCACAGCAACGTCAGCGAGGAAAGTTCCGTGGTACCCCTCAGATTTCAGGAAATAAATAGTTTGCCTAGAGTCCTTTCATAGAAGTACCTAATGAAAGGTGTGCACAATGGTTTTCCGGAACCCTTACAAGATTTAACATTAAAAATTCCTAACTTCCAAGGTGAACAACTTGTATAAGGAAGTAGTCACAATCTCATCTCGTCCTCCGCTTTTAGAAAATATATAGCAAGTCTAATATCTGTCCGAAAAGCGCCTGGGTGAAGAGTGTGCTTTGTGATTTCTAAAGATTTTCGAGTTTATAACATAAAAAAATTCATAATATCTGTAGATGAACATCTCTTACGCCGAGATAGTCACCATTGACTGTCTCATCTTCAGCTTTCAAAAAATATATATTTTGCCTGGAGTCCGTCAAAAAAACTGCCTGGTGAAGGGTGGGTGAGACTCTTATAATGGGGTTTTCAGGTGGAGGCTTTTTTTACCATTGTAACAAGACGTCTACTTAAGCACTCCCATTATGAAAGTCTCACCACCTTTCACCAGACACTTTTTTGGCGGACCTCAGGCAAAATATATATATAAGGTTGTCCCGAAAGTTCTGTCGGTTTTTTCAAGCTACTGTAAAACCACGAACAATAAAGACCTGAGTGAGTTTTAACATGTATTCGATGCAGCTTTTCCTTCTCTTTCTTGTGTATACATTTTCATACCAAAATCTCGTATGCTTCTTCTGATAATAGCCAAAATTCTTCACGTGCCAATTTTATCTACTCAAAGTTAGGCTAATTTTTAAAAATTTCGTTACAGAGTTCCGGGAAGGATCAAACACGGATCAAATAGAGCAACTCTCACAAGGGAAGTTCACTTAGTCGAAGTGACGATCCGGAGGGAGATCTATACCAGTGGATAGAGCTTAAAAAGCTGATCACAGATATACCTTCTATATCTGCGATGCGTTTTTCTGAAAAAAGTTATGAGCTTTTCTAAAGCCAAATTTTCGTGCATTTTGAGTCGCAAAATTATGATAATTGCTACACAAAAGTGTGCAAGCTCAAGCAAACCACCTAGTAAGCATTGTAGGTCTAATTCGAGTTCATCCGAACGTTTTCGAGTGTTTTCCGACCATGTTGTTTATTCAGAGGCCGTCATTTTATTCCTAGATCACACTTCCATTATATACACAAAAAAGCCCATAACCTCCATCTAGAAGAACGCGTCGCAGATATTGAAGATATGTTTAAAAACATCGTTTTACGTTCTATCCATTGGTAGTTTCCAAAAAGTTTCCTGCGCGACGCGTTTTTCTAGATGGAGGTTATGGGCTTTTTTGTGTATATAATGGAAGTGTGATCTAGAAATGAAATGACGACCTGTGGATGAACAGCATAGTCAAAAAACATTCGGTAGCGTTCGGATGAACTCGAGTTAGATCCTACAATGCTTGTTAGGTGATTTGCTTGAGCTTGCACACTTTTGTGTAGCTATCATCATGATTTTGCGACTCAAAATGCACGAAAATTTGGCTTTAGAAAAGCTCGTAACTTTTTTCAGAACAACGCGTCGCAGATATAGAAGGTATATCTGAGATCAGTTTTTTAAGCTCTATCCTCTGGTATAGGTCTCCTTCCGAATCACCACTTCGACTAAGTGAACTTCCCTTGTCAAACTACAAGCTGCTATTTTTAGATTCTCCTAATCTGCTGATTTTAGCTTCAAAAAATTATTTTTCCGGAGGTCTCGATTTTTGGCAAAGTCATGAAAAACGCATCTGCAGCAAACACAAGAAAGCATTTGAAGTTTCCGCGTATCGAAACATAATTCTTACTAAACATTATTTATGCAACATAACCAACTTTGATTTGCTTTGAAAAAGCAGCTTTTTGGAATTTTTGGTACTTTTACTTGTTAAACTTAATCAAAAAGCTTTGCTCCACAAAACAGTTACCAGCGCTCTTTGAAAACATCAGAATAAAAAATTCTAAAATTTAGGAAAGATTTGGCGTTACTGCTGAGCTGCTCAAAAAGCCATGGCGATAACATCGCAAAGACAGGGTAAACCACAGAGCAAGTATAACTGTAAGAAAGTCGATAAAAATCTGAATCAAATAGTGCCTAGGTCGCTTATGCATTGGTGTTCTATGAGTTTTAGCGAGCAATGAAAAAAACCGACAAAACTTTCGGGACAACCTAATATATTCTGAAATAGGAGGACGAGGCGGTTCAAACAATGGCCATATTCACGTACTATTCGCTCAGACTACAAGCTGCTATTTTTAGATTCTCCTAATCTGCTGATTTTAGCTTCAAAAAATTATTTTTCATCATTTTCTTTGAAAACCACTAAGAACACCCTTCACCCAAGCAATTTTTTGGACGGATTTCAGACATGCTATATAGTTTCTGAAAGAGGAAAACGAGGCAATTTTGATGGTGACTATTTCCTTGTGCAAAATTGTTCACCTAACAGAAGTTAGGATTTTTTTATCCTAAAAACTCGTGAATGTCCAGAAATCACTTTCCACTCCCCTTCACCAGGCACCTCAGCAGACTCCAGGCAAACTAGAAGTTCTCTGAAAGCGGAGGTTTTGAAAACAATTTCCTTGCTGACGTTGCTGTTCATCTACAGAAATTACGAATTTTTCCTTTTAAAAAATTCGCAAATGCTTGAAAATTGTCTAACTCCTTCCGAAACAAACGTTCTCGCATGCACGTGTTCTATGGTAATTCCAAAAACAGGCAGAATGATGTGAAAAAAGGAAAAGGGAAAATGTAAAAAAAATATACAAGGTGCTATTCAGAAATATAATTGTGCTACTCCAGCAGCACCTCGTTCACACTTCAGAAAAAAGACAATTAGTGAAGGCAAGGAACTGAAAACTATAAATTTTGTCCAGGAAATTGATTAGAGACCGTGGCTCCCCCCCCCCCCCCCGGTCGACATTATATAATTTCTGCACCAAGCGAAACACCCTTCACCAGAAGGGGCTGCGACCGCTGTGACCCCCTCCCCCTAAAGAGTCATTCTCACCTTATCGCACTTATGAGTAGGCATATATGCTTATAATGAAGTGAAGTGAAGAAACGGCTTTTATTTTAATTTGGTAAAACTCTCGGCGTCAATTATGGGCGCTCCTTTCAAATACCGAATAATCTCTAAAAATTCTCTGTATACCAAATTTTCAGAGTGTAGCCTTGCAACTCGAAAAACACACGTTTGTAAAAGTACATTGCAGAATTTTGGATTCCTTGTTTCTTCTTCAACAAGATTTTTCGCAATGCTTAGTATTTTCCTCATAAGTAAGAAACAAAAAAAACTGATTTTGAAGGTTGTGAATTTGAAAATTTAGATTAGACAGAACTCATCCAGCAAGCTGATACTTCAAGAGCATAGGCTATGATCAGGTTTAGCGAAAAAGTCTGCTGTTGTGAGTAAACTTTTTCGCTAAACCTGATGATCATCGCCTTTTTAAAAAGGAAAGTCCTGCTTACATAAAATTATCGATTTTCTTCGGATACTTATTGAAATCTTCGGGCAGTTCTCCGTTGAGCCTAAGAGTTGCTTCGATGAAGTCTGTAATAGGCATTGCCGTTTGCATTGAACTAACAAGACAATCTCTTACCGTGAATCTTCCTTTGGTCAACGAAATGGAGCTTCCGAGGAAATACCGTTTCCGATAAGTTTTTCCTAGATTCCACATCGAATGCCGAAAACCATGGTGTTTATGAAATTCTAGTAGACTAAAGAATGTCCCACCTGCACAAGAAGCATGGTCATAAAGTTTGCGAAAAATTCTTTTGTAGTTTTTGGTCCCGTTCGTCTCAAGCTATTGTGAATTTGCTTGAGGTCAACGGTCCTTTCACGTCCAACAAATTGTGTCAATCTTTCATCATTTATTTTACAGTCATCACGGCCAAACCACTCATGTCCGCGTTCGTCTCGTCTTAGTGGTTCTGGTGGATGTGGTATGTCAACCTGTGTAGTTTTCAGAACATCGACGAAGATTTTTGGAAGTTTTAATATTTTACGCGACTGTGTTCGCGTACCTGATTTCCCATTACAATGGCAATGACGCGAATAAAGCGAACAACATCCTCTTGCCCCGGAAGTTCGCGACCCTCGTGGTCTAATAAAGCATGTAGATTTGCCATTGCTTCATTAATCCGATGAATGTCAGGTGGTTGATTTTCTGCTATCCCTAAGAATTCGCTGGCCTTGCAAACTGTGTCTTTCGTGTAGTTGCTGTAGTTGCCCTTGATGCACTGAAACACAAAACATGACATGCTTGCAACCCGCTTCTCAGGTTAGATTAGGCATTCTCAAACTACAGTGACGTTAATTTCTCTGATCACAGCATTCCTTCTTTTTTTTTCTCAGATCTTTCATTGAGCCAAATTTCGCTAAGAAAACATTGTGCACTCTTTGCCTATAATTATAAAACGGTGAAATGTATAATAGCCAATGCGCGTACTGTAACTTTGCAAATAACTGTTTCGTTCTCTATTAGTTTAACAGTAACAGGTTAAGTAATGTTTCTAACCTTCCAAGGACATCTACACCCTTCGTAAAGCATAAGTAAAACTGAGAAGAGTGCGACAAAAACAAGGGATGTAATGCCAGAAACAAAGGTCCCACTTAAAGAAGCTATCTTGTGTGTTTTCGAAAAGCATAATTAGTGGATTCACAGGAACGCAAAATTAGTAGATTTACCCACTACTTTTTCATCTCCATATGTGGAAGGACTTACTTTGAAAATTTGTTCGAATGATTCGGCCATCGCTAAGTATCTACAGAGTTCGTTCTTTACGGCTGTTCAAATGTAATTCTGAAATAGAAAACATGCATACGCGTCTCATATGGAAGCAACATGCAGTCGATTCTCTTACTCGGAGCGAAGCTCCGAGATACGGTTTCGATTAGGGCACGCAACAAGTGTGAAGCACACTGTATCAGGGCAGCAATACATGTTCAGTTAAGAATAGAATTAGGGGTTTGTTCAAGAATGTTTGACAAAAATAAAAATAAAACTGGATGACTCTTTAAAATAATAAACATACTTTTTCAACCTATTCTGCATTTAGATATCATTATCATCATTAGACAAATTCTGCACTCGAGACTTAATTTTTGATTGTATGGAACCACGCAAATGATTAGAGCAAATGATTTTGCTTGACCGGTGGTCGGCCTTCTTGCAAGGGAAGCATGTTTGTAAGAGCAATGACACGGTTAATTTTTCCACCAAATTTGGGTAAATAGGAGAATAAATAGAAGTGAAACACCTAAAAAACTTAGAAGCCTCGAAAGCTCAGGTAGAAAACGGTAAAAAATTACAAGCTCGGATAGTCTAGACCATTCAGAAAGTTGTTTAACATCAAAAGTAAGGGGAACCCAGATAATTTTTTAAGCAGTCTGCCAGTTAACCAAAACTGTGGAACTAAGTGTTTACTGTCCTTCCTCGAACTCATGTGATTGGCAGATTTGCTTATTATGGCACATTTCTAGCCTGAAGCTTGGAACCTTGTTCTTCTCACTATTATGGAACAGGAGTAGACAATAAGGGAACAACCCTCATCCAAAAAAAATGATGGATCCGACTTGGGTGAGAGAGTGAGAAGGCAACTCGCCAAAGAATTTCATAGCCTGAAACGAATAAATACCAATATCTCACGCACCACCTTGTCATCAGTATTGAACTAAACTGTTACATCGGTAAACTCAGATGACAAAGTAGTGCTACCGTGGCCTTGGAGATTGTTTGCAATGCACCAAAACAAAGTCATGAGCACATCTTCGATAGTCTAGAAATAAGGCATCAGAAGTAAAGGATGTTTGAATATCTACTCCTTAAAAAAAGTGAAGGTTGTTTATAGAAGATCAGAGAAGAATAAAAGACGGAAAACGGATATTGAAAGCAAAAGAAACTATTAAGAAGCAAATAAAAACGCTGCAGTGAATTAATCTTTCATTTGGCGGCTTTTCAAAACGCAGGTTTCCTCTCCAGGACCAGCAGTCGCTTAGTTTTTGATGCGTCCTTTGAATTTTTACCTCCGCATTGACGAACAAGAGCTTCAAAATGATATATTTCTTGCTAAATTGTGTGCGGAACAACGAAGAAAATGAAACCAGAACCAAATGTCCCGCGCCCCGAGTTTGTGGTAGCGAGACAGCGCGCAGCGCGCGGAGGTGCGGACGAGCAACGAAGGCAGATCAGAGCCGACGGGACATTTGGTTCTGGTCGTAGATCTCGGCAGGGTCTCAACGAAACTCGGCAGCATCATTTACCATTTGATCGCCGTGACACGACGAGGAGCACTGACAACGCCCCAAGCGATGAAAGTCACAAATTGATCAGATAGACCAGCATATTCGTGCGTGACTTTATGCGCAAGATTTATGCAGTTTTCGTTTTTGTTCAACTCTAACAGCTTTTCTAAAGTTCTGTAACTCAATTTTGTTAAACAAGAAGAGTTAACTGAGAAATTTTGTTATGATTTCTGGGGATTTCTGAAAGTCTTTTACAGAAATCTTTTTTTAGTTGAAAAAGAGTAAGAAAACGCATTTCTCGGTTTCGCTGAGGTAATCTAATGATATTCTTCTGTATATTTGCTCCATTCACATACATTCCGAGCATAAATAGGATTATGAGATGCGAAGCGAAGCCCCGGATGACTTTCTTTTCCAGGTAAAGGTTGTGTTCTTTTTTGTTGCTCAAAGTGAACGTTACCAAAGTACGTGCTCTATGTATCAAGGGTATGGTTGTGAAACGGGTTTTGCCAAAAATAACTTGAACAAAGTCATGAAAGAGTGTGTATTAAGGCCTTATTTGCTCAATTACATCACCGCTTATAATTTGTGGAAAAATAACGGACGGTCGCCCGAGTCTGGAACATTGCAGTGAGATCGTAAGATATCACTTTGTATTAAATGAATACTGAATTCCAGAGCACAAAACTCAGCTCGGCACGGAACATCAGCAGTTTTATAGTAGCCGGTGCATACGATAGGCTACTTTTATTGCAAAAATTTGTCGGAGTGCCGTAAACTTGATGGCTGGTTCTCGTGAATTCTCAATTTCATACGATAGCAAGCAGCTCACAGCAAAAATCAGTACATCGGGTGACCTAACATAAGTAAATATCAGAGAAACTTCTGTAAATGATTGCTACAATAGAATAATTGCGATCAATCACAGACAATAACTTGTATGTATCAAAGCATGAGCAAAGCCAAGCTATGTTGAGTGGTGGTTGAATTTAAAGTTCGCCTTGATGCAGATTTAGCAGCAATAGTCAAGGAACTGAATGAACTTCCTGTCAGCAGTTCTCTATTTTATGCTATCCCTCCGAAACGTTTGAAGCGTAGATAACGATACTCGATTCATTTTATCTAAGAGCAAAGGCTAGCACCCAAGCGGAGATCTCACCAAAAGCGTTACACGGCTAATCGGCATTTTTCGAGTACAATACGCAGATAGAGAGCAAAAGCCAAACGCATTTGTCATAAAGATAATTCAGATATTTTTGAGCATAACACAAAGGACTCCTGTCGTTTATATAATGCAAGTTGCAAGCAAAAGTCTGGTGGAAAAAACTGAAGTTTCTAGACTGTTCTTCACCAACTCAAATATGCACGACTTAAAAGTCTCATTTTCTACACCGCCAAATGCGTAATCGTTGATACAACGAGTCTGACTGCTGGGAGGCGAGGCTTCGACGCCTAATCAAGGCTAACGAATGATTAGAGAGCACGCTCGCGAAAGAGATGCGGAATGTGTCGCGAGCGAAAGTGGTCGCCTACCAACCGCCATCTCGCTGAATCAAAGGATAGAACTATGTCATTAACCCAGAAATTATACCAAAATTCCGTCCATGAGAAACTGCTAAGTTTGTTTTTTACTGATAATTTTTCAATAAAAGTGTGCATTGACCGCAATTGTTTTTCTTAGGACTCGTGTGGGTTTCGCAACATCTATCTTCCGAAATTTAGTTTCGCAGGTGACTGAAAACAAAAATTTTATACGAAATGCTTTATACATACTGAAGCAAGTCTAAACAATTTTCGCTACTGATACATTTCGAACTTCAAAGAGCAGAATACCAGATGTGCCTTTTTTGTGCCTGCTACGATGGCATTTTATGTAGTAGTAGTTCCTTGTATGACTTTCCATTGAAAAAGTATGTGTATGCCCGGAATGCTGATGAAGAATGTAAATGGTTATGTTATATGAATTTTGGACGTGCTCTATGCATATGTCTCTCATCATCAGTAGCAATAACGTCTACGCAATCACTTGTTCAGGGCTTGCTTCCAATTCTGACCATTTCCTACTCATTACTACCACAATGTAAACATTTCAATGCTAATATTGACACATTCTGAATTTTGGAGCTTGATTTCGAGCGTTCAAAGATATTGAAAAGGTGGCCTTATGCATAAAAACTCAGTACCCTTGATATTCACATTTTCTTATACCAACAGCTCTGGCTGGAATTCTATTGATCTCCAACTTTTATACTACTCATACACGAATACAGATTTGCAATCTCAGTTATCTTCTTAAATCAAAGATTAGAATAGTGCCTACGCTGTATTATGCTCAAATAACTCTCGTGTACTCTGCTCTTCCAAGTATCACCATACTTAATACGGCAGTAAAGCGCGAACCGGATAAGGAGCGTGAAGTGATTAACACTCCACGATGTGATAAGAAAAAGATTGCTCCAAATGCGTTTCCAGCGAAACGGAAGATAATCCTAACGCATCGATCATCTTTGCAATTCAGAAAGTATGGTGATGAAGTACGGTATCCCATTTACAAATCTGTCAGGATCTGAAAAATCGTGATGATGCTGAACACATGTGCAATACCGCTCGTATTTTCTTGAAAAAAAAAATAGACGACGCACAGTTGCTTAATTCTTGTGACATCACCGTAGCCATATCTCGCTTCAAAATGGACGAATTCTTTATCAAAAGCACCATTTGTCTAATCACGGCGAAACGCATCTTCTGACATATAGAAATGCCCGCTTGGACACAACAAGAGGTAGATTCCACGAATTGTTTCAAATATTTGCTTACGGTAGGTTGCCCAGTAAGTAAATGAATGAGCGCACGATATGCAACCTACCGTAAGCAAAAGTTTGAAATGATCCGTGGCATATAACCTCCTACTGTGTCCATGTGTGAACTTCTTTAAAACATATAACTTCTATGTGTTGCGCCGAGCCCCAAACATCGAGAATATGTCAATAATAGCATTGGAATATTTCACGTTGTACTAGTGCTTGAGTAGGAAATGGTCAAAATTAGAAGCAAGCCTTGAACAAGATTGCGTAGACATTGATGCTATTGATGTTGAAAGACGTATGCACACAGCACTCTGAAGAGTAAAGTTTTTTTAGAAGGCATCGGCTTGAACACTAATAGTGGTAAGTTTGTTTTTCAAAATTCAAAAGCAATGCATTTCGTAAGCCTAGTGTATCGGTGGCAATTAATAAAACATTCTTCGCTAATCATAGAAAACCCACGACCTTTTTCTAGCTCTTTAAAGCGCACCGAAATAAAAAAATGAGGATTCTAAGTTATAGTGGGTCAGTACTTCTACCTCTCTTTCATTTAGTCAAAAGCGCTCTATCAATGACCGAAAACCTCTATGTCCGAAAGTCCATACAACATGATTTTACCTTCTTCATCAGCATTCCAACCATACACAGACTTTTGCTGAGATAGTTGATTCTGTTCTGAGAATCAGCCTCTGAAATAAGGTACGAA